AAACATGCTTAACATGTGTAATCGGCGCCAACGCTGACGACACCCGATGGCTGAAACTGCACAGACGGACTTATCTTCAGTGGAACCATTTATTTTCAAGTATTATGGCTGTATGTTAATGCCATCTTTTTATGAATGAAGGCCAGTATCACTGATATTAATATAGCTACTGATGTCTCCATGAAAATGATTTTTCCCCAAATTTTAAACATTTATTAGGCTTCAAAAAATATAACAATTTTTTATTTAAGTTAACTTAAAACAATCCTCACTTAAACCCATAATAAATGTCATATTTACCTGTGCCTTTCCTGTCTAACAGGTATGAAATATACAGAAATTGAATAAGGTTATAAAACAGTCCGCACTGCATAAATTATAAATGAAATATAGATTAATCCTTATTAAAGCTACAAGTGTTCTTTAGTCAAGAACAGGGAGTCATTTTCTCTGTTCCCTTTGCTCTTTGGTTAACTTTACTGACAGAGAGAATTGTGGCTCCTATCACTTTAAGATCTGCAGACAGGATCTCAAGCATCTCATTCTCACTTTTACTTCCATTTAAGATTTTATTTAATTAATTTAAGACTGGTATTGTGAGGATATTCGACAAAGAGAACATTTTGGCATAAATGTGTGTGTTATTGTTCGTTCAAGCGCGAAAGAGAACTCGATACTGGCGCGCGTCTTTCTGTGAGTCGTGTGTGTGTGTGTGTGTGTGTGTGTCAGGAGGACATTCAATGACAGCGCGTTCTCTTTTGTCTTGTCGCGCATGAATGGTTTAAGAGCATTTGCGCGAATAAGAGCGTGATCATATAACCCTAGCTAAAGGATGACAGAAAGAACGAATGCTGCGTTAAATACTTTAACACGTTGAAGCTGGGCAAAAATTAATCGCATGCGTCAACGTTGACAGCACTACTTGTCATACATTACTGACAGAAAAATGCTGCGGTTTAAAGTGGATTCGTTTTCATGGTAGGCCTACACAGAATGTTTTTAGTAAGCTACACAGGATGTTCTACAATAAATATTTAGCTAACGTTAACAGTCTGAAGTTGCAGCAATGTATGTTAATCTTTCTTCGCATGTCGCGCCTCCCCTGTGGCTCTTTGGCGCCCCCCAGGGGAGGCGCGCCTCACCTATTGAAAACCGCTGGCCTATAGCATTGATTAGCTGTGGAGGGAGGGGTGTGGGGATTAAAATAGTTCAGCAGAAGCAGGGATGTTTAGACCAGAAGGAAATCCCAGTCCCCCCTGGCAAATCACACTTTACTTAAAACCATGTTTTTAAAAACTCTAGGTTGTAGGGAACAGACCTCTCTGCCATGCGCGCGCACGGTTTGGAGCACAATATCTGTCTTGCATGCACGCTCGCTCTAGATAGATTACGGGATATTTTAACTAATTCGCGGTATAACTAGTCGATCACGAGTGGCTCAACAGGTAGATCTATAGATAAACTATATCTTTCAGGAATTTGACCGACCGGGTTGACACTTCAGCGTGAGAAATCGGGGGTGTGGCGTGAGAGCCTGGAATAAAAAAAATATATATATATATAGCCTATATAAAAAAAAACTGTATGGTGTAACAGAGTTTTAGAGCTAGACAAATCTCTCTGCAATAATAAATATAAAATTTACAGCAGACCATGTATGTGCGGGATTTGAACCTGCGTCATCTTGATGATGAACCATCAGTTCTACCGCTCGGCTATGAATTTTGTTACTGAGAAATATCCAAACGTTTGATTCTCACATGAGCGAGAAAACGTTTTGTCTTTAGCCTGTGAGTGTAGGCCTACTTTAGCCTTTTACAGTTTTAAAAGATTATATCTTATCTGTATGACCAACAATTTGTATAGGCTTATTTGGAAATTACCATAACTTGTAGTATTTCATCTTTAGGCTACTGTTAATAGACATTAGCCCCACTTACGTTTTGCTAAATGTCCCTTTGCGCCACCTGGCGGTCATTTCGCGTACGACTTTGAAATGAGACTGGTTTATTTTTACCGCGGTGGATGGCTAAAAATGGTTTGTGGATGGCTAAAAGGTGTGACTAAAAATGTGCTTTTGGCTTTCATTTATATTTTGATTGTTTGTATATATATATATATATATATGTATATATATATATATATACTAATGAGCCTTTCATTCAGGGGTGTCACACAAGAAAGAATGCAAGGACAATATATATATAAATAAATAAATATTTATATACACACACACACACACACACACACACACATATATATATATATATATATATATATATATATATATATGTGTGTGTGTGTATATAAATATTTATTTATTTATATATATATTGTCCTTGCATTCTTTCTTGTGTGACACCCCTGAATGAAAGGCTCATTAGTATGCAGTCTGCTCAGGTGAGAACTGCCTAATTATTCATGAGGGGGTTGGGCCGATCCGCCCATCCGCATATTGCCTTTGCAAACAAAAAAATGTTTTTCACAATTTAAAACAATCTATTGTTTTATGTGAATGATTAGGCAGAATGATTTTCAGATCAATTTGAAGCAAATACTCTAGGCGACAACATCCCCTAGTCAAAAGTCTTGTGGACAGATATTTAGTATGTTATTTGTGGCCTTATATTAGAAACTTTATTTTTTATTTTTTTCAATAACCACGCATAAACAATATTCTCTCAAAAATACAAACATGTACATACATGTTGCTCACATATTATGGTAGCCCTGTGTGTGCTATATAGAGTGTAATTTCACCTGTGCCATTAACATGTTTATAAGCAACTGAAAAAAGCACAAATGTCAGAGCATGCCAAAACATCTCAAGGACCCCGAAAACACCTCAGACCCCAGAGGGTTAAATCAAACAACAAACTGCCAAAGAAATTGGCCCTGATTCTTTTAAATCAACATTTTTTCGTGTTTTAAAAGATATTTGCCAACCAATATTTTCAAACATGTTCAATTTCATACATTTCCCGAGGGTGAAATCCGTTGCTGTCTGTTAACATTAAAGGTAAAAAAAAAAGTGAATTGTAAAGTATTTCTCTTTGTTTAAAGGGGTCATATAATGGTACATGCACTTTTACAAGTTGATTGTACTGAAATGTGTGTTGGCAGTGCCTGTACACAACCATCATATAATGATAAAAATCCATCCAGTGTTTTTGTTTTAATCTCCTTATATGTTTTCCCCTGCCTCAAATTGAGCCGTTCGTTTTAGTGACGTCAATAAAACGGACGCCCCTCCCGCGATTGTTGATTGACAGCTTGTGATTCAACACAGACCCGCCCTCGCTCGTCCTGTCAATCATAGTCCGCGCGGACCGGCGCGGTCAGTGTTGCCAACTTAGCGCCTTTGTCGCTATTTTTAGCGACTTTTCAGACCCCTTTAGCGAAATTTTTTTTAAAAAGCGACTAGCGACAATTTTAGCGACTTTTTGGACAAACCTCAGTAACCTCCAAATGTTGTCAGTACTGTCCTGCGAGCGCGAGGTCTTGCTTTCTCCCTGTCGTCACTCTCTCTAGCTGCGTCTCCCCTGTTCAGTGAATGGCTGAGAGGAGCGCACGGCCGCTGACAGACGCGAATGAGCAGTGTTTTTCCACGGACTTATCACTTATCTGCTTCTCTTTTAGTTTGACCATTTAAATTTAATTTCTTTTATTGTGCTTATTACTTGTAACACTATCACAGAGCTTAGTTAATCCGGTTCCCTAACTCTCTCAATTCAGATAATGTTCCACATAGGCCTATACAAAATGTAATCATTCACTATAGCTACTCGTTCAATTGTCTGACAACAACAAAAATAGGAAATGAGAACAGCTTTATTTGACATTCGGCTATATTATATTGAATAGAGCATTAATTTAGAGAGAAAACGCACTAGGCTGACAGAACGCAAGTAAGGCGCGATGACGTCATTAATATGCTAATTGACGTATGACGTCATCTAGCGACATTTAGCGACTTTTAGGGAAGGCCTTAGCTACTTTCCTTTGAAAATAGTTGGCAACACTGGGCGCGGTCATTGTTGATATGCTGGAGCTCTGTCTATGAGCAGAATGGCGTCTAAGCGATTGTGGTGTTCTGTTCTTGGGTGCAATAACGAACACAGCAGTCATTTTAATGTTCCTAAATCCGAACCGCTGAAGACGCAGTGGCTGAGTTTGTTTTCGAAGGGAATATTCCCCACGAGCAACGTCAATGCTCTCATGTTTGCCGAATCATTTCTCAGTGGACTGCTTTATAAACGAGGATCAGTGTAAAGCTGGTTTTGCTGAGAAGCTGCACCTTAATAAAGGATCGGAACCTATTCGTCTTCCTGCTGAACCTTCAGAAGAACTAAAGTGAGTGTAACGTTTTATTAATCTTTATATTAATATTTATATAATCTTTGCAAATCGCCAGCTGCACGCTTCACGATGAATGCGTCGGTTTACACTCAGGGTACATTACAGCATGTTTTCTATGTACAATGTTCTCAATATAATTCATAATCCCACGTTTATAATGAACAACGCGTGGTTATTGTGTTATTGTGTTACAATCGGTGTACGCACAGAACAGAGAGGCGGAGTGAGCAAAGCTCATTATCATTTAAAGTCATATGCACTGAAACGGCGTGCTGAAAACAGAGCTGATTTTGACCAGGTAAAATAAGTGTTTTCTTACAATACTAATGAGAATTTTTAATTAAAGTATATTACAAACTTTTAATTTAGACCCTAAAGAATCATATTAGCTTGTACAAAAATGGCATTATATGACCCCTTTAAATATGTATTCAACCCCACCTTACACATTAATACTGGAAAAAGAGCCTCTTTGGTGTAAAAACACATTAAGTCATTTTACGGCGCGATTTTGAATGATGACCATTCACCGTAAATAAGGGCTCCCTCCCTATAAAAGCCAATTTAACCACTGCTTCTACATAGTATGAGTGTGTAGTATGAATGTAATCTGTGCGTACTACTTTTGCCATGATGTCATTATCACGTGGCCTACAGCGTCATTGCGTCATTCTTAATATTCATGAGCGCCTTTTCCTCAAAACTGCTGCCTGATTCATTTACTGCAACTGCAAGTCATCCGCTTCTTCCCGAAACATCTTTACACGGTCAGTCAGAGAGTCATTTTCCTCTTATTTACTGACTGAGTCGATCGCTGAGGATTTATAAAAGCAGTAAGACTTGATTCCTGTTTACCTTCACTTCCTGTTTAGTTTCACTTTGTAAAGGCAAAGGTTTTTAGTTTCTTATGAACTATTTTTTAAATTCCAGTTAGCACCTTTAAAATGGTAAAGATTTACTATTATTCTTTTAGTCGTGTGTGTTTACGATATTTCTGTACTGATACACACTTGTACACAGCGGCTCTTGCAGCTGATTATATGTAACGTAACAACGTTAGAGGAATGTCGAATCAGACACATGAAATATAATGAAAGCTGATTTGTTCCTCAGAGAGCCAGAATGGTGAACTGCTGTGGTCTCGTGTCGGAGAAAAATGTGCCAGGTAAAAACTCTCCACTTCCTCATTATAATCAGCTTTAACTCTTTATATTGTGTATAATTCTTATTAATTACAAACAAGGGGTTACATTTGGATTAATTATTATTATTTAAGACAGCATGTTAGAAAAAATACATACATGTACATTCTTGTGCTGCGTTTATAAGCTGGTGTAATATGAGAATGTGCTGTTTCTTTTTTTTATTCATACCACAAATATAAGTGTCTTTATACAGTGGAAATCTAAAAATGTGTATTTTCTTCAAAGGCAAATAAAATTATATCTTCATTTTAAATGAACAGCATATTTAATCTGTCTGTCAATTTGAAAAATGTTTTTTGGGGTCTATAAAAGTTAAATAAACATTTAATGATCTATAAGCCTTTCACATATTTCTACACTTATTAAAACTATTCTGTCAGTACACCATAGTTAAACAAATGAAGTAAATCACTGTATTTCCATTCAAATGGAAGGAAACTGAAAGGCTTAAAGATCCTGTTGCTTCATCTAGTGTACAACATTAATATCACAGATTAATGTTTCATTTTAAATGGCTGATCGTTTATGCTGTTCATCATCAGGGCTGGACTGGGACAAAAAATCGGCCCGGGCATTTTGGCCCAGACTGGCCCACTATATAACACAACCGAACTTTGCACGCCCTTGAATATGTATACCACCTCCTATTAAAACCACTAATGCCATAAGTGAATAGGAGTGAGTAAGAGTTAACCGATGAAAATAACTACTAAGTTGAACAATACTCCACAGTGATGAATCCTAAAGAAAGCTATAAGCTGGGATAGCAATACCGTTTTCTCACACAGGTTTTTGTGAAATCCCTGGTGAGTGCACCTCTGTCCCTCTAGGGGGGTTCGGGGGCATGCTCCCCCGTAAGAAAAATTTTGTGCTTTTTAATGTTAAATTCATCAATCTGGTGCACTTTGAGAGTTAAAAATAAAGAGCTCCAACCCATATTCAGTGTGCAAATTGAACAAAGAAAAACTCAAAACTCTTTTAGTTGTGATATAGTGTCTGTCTACATTACACTACTACATAATAATAGTTATAATATTAATCCCATGGCAGTAATAGCCATATGTTGTAAAACAAATGCACTGAAAAATAAAAGCAACTTTCATAATTAGTTTCGTACTAATTTCTATACAGAGATAAGCACATGATCTTTTATTTTGACGGAAACGGCATCGAGCTTTTATTTTGAAGAAAAATATGGTTTACAAACTCATTACTCATTATTGTCTCATTACAATTCTAATAAAAAATACGTAATCGTCAAATATGCAGATGTGTAAATAATGCGTACCGTAAGTGGGTTCCTACATAGACTAATGGTGTGTTCACACCCAACGCGAATTTAATTATTTGGGCGAGTAGATTACATACAAAGTCAATGCAAAGACGCGAATAGACGCATCATTCACGCCGGGCGTTGCGAATGACGCGAATTGGGCGACGCGTTTGCCGCGAATGTCTTCCGCGCAAGTTGAAAAATTTGAACTCGAGCGAATGTTCAAGCGTCTAATTAAACGCGATAGACGCGTATTTGACGCTCTATTCGCGTTCGGTGTGAACACACCATAAGTGTTGTGACAGTAGCCTAGTTCTGCTTACCACAGTTCTCTACACTCACTCATCTCTCTCCTTATCCTCCTCACTATCCTCACTCATCTCTCTCCTTATCCTCCTCACTATCCTCATCATCAGACACTTGAAGGGCCTGTGAAGTTTCTTTTTTCACGCTATTTCTCTGCACATTCCTTGCGTTTGTTCTCCATCGCTCTGACTATTTTGACAGATACACACTGACACTGCACGCTCACTCAGAGCTCAAAGGGGGGGGGGGGCGTTTAAAGATGTGATTGGACCACCCCAGTGTGAATCAAGAAAATAACCAATGGGCTGCTGATCTACGCGTTTCATCATGCGCCGGTCTGTGAGAAAAAGAAAAACCTACGCTGACTTTTTTTTTTGTCCAATGCATTACACCGGCACAAAGATCCCAGAGCCGCCAATTAAACAAAACTAAACGCAATGGGCCGCCGATATACGAGTTTTATGGGCCGTAAAAAAAAAAAAAAAAAAAAAAGTATGAGATGTATCGGCCCACAAAGCACGTCGGCCCACCGGGCAAATGCCCGGTATGCCCGATTGCCAGTCCAGCCCTGTTCATCATACATTTATGAAGCTGAGCATGTTTGCCTGAATGGAAACCCGCTACTCCAATGCACACAGATTCTTACAGCTATTAAGACATGAACTCAAAAAGAAAACGTGTTCCTTTAATGTAATACAAGAAGCCAATCAAAACGCGAGTTTCAGAGCGTTTAACACACACGTGTGTGTGTGTGTGTGATGAGTGTTGAGAGCAGCGAAAGCGTTTAACACACGTGTGTCTGACACAGACCTGTGTGTGTGTGTGTGATGCCAGTGTTTGGAGTGGGTGCTGCCAGTGTTGTTAGGAGCGGGTGCTGCCAGTGTTTGGAGCGGGTGCTGCCAGTGTTGTTAGGAGCGGGTGCTGCCAGTGTTGTTTGGAGCGGGTGCTGCCAGTGTTGTTAGGAGCGGGTGCTGCCAGTGTTGTTAGGAGCGGGTGCTGCCAGTGTTGTTTGGAGCGGGTGCTGCCAGTGTTGTTTGGAGCGGGTGCTGCCAGTGTTGTTTGGAGCGGGTGCTGCCAGTGTTGTTAGGAGCGGGTGCTGCCAGTGTTGTTAGGAGCGGGTGCTGCCAGTGTTGTTTGGAGCGGGTGCTGCCAGTGTTGTTTGGAGCGGGTGCTGCCAGTGTTTGGAGCGGGTGCTGCCAGTGTTTGGAGCGGGTGCTGCCAGTGTTGTTAGGAGCGGGTGCTGCCAGTGTTGTTAGGAGCGGGTGCTGCCAGTGTTGTTTGGAGCGGGTGCTGCCAGTGTTGTTAGGAGCGGGTGCTGCCAGTGTTGTTAGGAGCGGGTGCTGCCAGTGTTGTTAGGAGCGGGTGCTGCCAGTGTTGTTAGGAGCGGGTGCTGCCAGTGTTGTTAGGAGCGGGTGCTGCCAGTGTTGTTAGGAGCGGGTGCTGCCAGTGTTGTTAGGAGTGGGTGCTGCCAGTGTTGTTAGGAGCGGGTGCTGCCAGTGTTTGGAGCGGGTGCTGCCAGTGTTGTTAGGAGCGGGTGCTGCCAGTGTTGTTAGGAGCGGGTGCTGCCAGTGTTGTTAGGAGCGGGTGCTGCCAGTGTTGTTAGGAGCGGGTGCTGCCAGTGTTGTTTGGAGCGGGTGCTGCCAGTGTTGTTTGGAGCGGGTGCTGCCAGTGTTGTTAGGAGCGGGTGCTGCCAGTGTTGTTAGGAGCGGGTGCTGCCAGTGTTGTTAGGAGCGGGTGCTGCCAGTGTTGTTAGGAGCGGGTGCTGCCAGTGTTGTTAGGAGCGGGTGCTGCCAGTGTTGTTAGGAGCGGGTGCTGCCAGTGTTGTTAGGAGTGGGTGCTGCCAGTGTTGTTAGGAGCGGGTGCTGCCAGTGTTGTTAGGAGCGGGTGCTGCCAGTGTTGTTAGGAGCGGGTGCTGCCAGTGTTTGGAGCGGGTGCTGCCAGTGTTGTTTGGAGCGGGTGCTGCCAGTGTTGTTTGGAGCGGGTGCTGCCAGTGTTGTTAGGAGCGGGTGCTGCCAGTGTTGTTTGGAGCGGGTGCTGCCAGTGTTGTTTGGAGCGGGTGCTGCCAGTGTTGTTAGGAGCGGGTGCTGCCAGTGTTGTTAGGAGCGGGTGCTGCCAGTGTTGTTAGGAGCGGGTGCTGCCAGTGTTGTTAGGAGCGGGTGCTGCCAGTGTTGTTAGGAGCGGGTGCTGCCAGTGTTGTTAGGAGCGGGTGCTGCCAGTGTTGTTAGGAGCGGGTGCTGCCAGTGTTGTTAGGAGCGGGTGCTGCCAGTGTTGTTAGGAGCGGGTGCTGCCAGTGTTGTTAGGAGCGGGTGCTGCCAGTGTTGTTTGGAGCGGGTGCTGCCAGTGTTGTTAGGAGCGGGTTCTGCCAGTGTTGTTAGGAGCGGGTGCTGCCAGTGTTGTTAGGAGCGGGTGCTGCCAGTGTTGTTTGGAGCGGGTGCTGCCAGTGTTGTTTGGAGCGGGTGCTGCCAGTGTTGTTTGGAGCGGGTGCTGCCAGTGTTGTTTGGAGCGGGTGCTGCCAGTGTTGTTTGGAGCGGGTGCTGCCAGTGTTGTTTGGAGCGGGTGCTGCCAGTGTTGTTTGGAGCGGGTGCTGCCAGTGTTGTTAGGAGCGGGTGCTGCCAGTGTTGTTTGGAGCGGGTGCTGCCAGTGTTGTTTGGAGCGGGTGCTGCAAGTGTTGTTTGGAGCGGGTGCTGCAAGTGTTGTTAGGAGCGGGTGCTGCCAGTGTTGTTAGGAGCGGGTGCTGCCAGTGTTGTTAGGAGCGGGTGCTGCCAGTGTTGTTTGGAGCGGGTGCTGCCAGTGTTGTTAGGAGCGGGTGCTGCCAGTGTTGTTAGGAGCGGGTGCTGCCAGTGTTGTTAGGAGCGGGTGCTGCCAGTGTTGTTTGGAGCGGGTGCTGCCAGTGTTGTTTGGAGCGGGTGCTGCCAGTGTTGTTTGGAGCGGGTGCTGCCAGTGTTGTTTGGAGCGGGTGCTGCCAGTGTTGTTTGGAGCGGGTGCTGCCAGTGTTGTTAGGAGCGGGTGCTGCCAGTGTTGTTAGGAGCGGGTGCTGCCAGTGTTGTTTGGAGCGGGTGCTGCCAGTGTTGTTTGGAGCGGGTGCTGCAAGTGTTGTTTGGAGCGGGTGCTGCAAGTGTTGTTAGGAGCGGGTGCTGCCAGTGTTGTTAGGAGCGGGTGCTGCCAGTGTTGTTTGGAGCGGGTGCTGCCAGTGTTGTTAGGAGCGGGTGCTGCCAGTGTTGTTAGGAGCGGGTGCTGCCAGTGTTGTTAGGAGCGGGTGCTGCCAGTGTTGTTAGGAGCGGGTGCTGCCAGTGTTTGGAGCGGGTGCTGCCAGTGTTGTTTGGAGCGGGTGCTGCCAGTGTTGTTTGGAGCGGGTGCTGCCAGTGTTTGGAGCGGGTGCTG